GTTTTTCACTGTCTTAAGCACTGTTCACCACTATTCAACACTGGTTCCATTCCTTTCCCAAATGAAATAGTAACTTCTGGCGAGAACTTGTTGATATTCCGGTGGGTAGGAGGGTTCAGGGGAGGGAGTTGGCATGGCCCAACATAACAGTTGACGTGGCTGCTGCTGAGCAGCGCCAGGTGCGTGTGTGTGTGTGCAGCCACACACAGGGTGGTGAAATGCGTCTAAAGTGGCTGCCGCCGCTGGCTAGCCCTGGTGGCGAAAAGGGAAGCAACTTGCATAAGTCTTCCCCTGCCAGTACAGAGCCTCCTCATCATCAAGACTCCTGCTGTGCCTCCTCGTGGCAACACACGGTAACTGGGTGCCTCGTGGGCCCAGACTAGATCAACAGGGGATCTCGGAGTAGCAGTGGGTCCCAGAGGGAAGACACGTAGGCCCTCTGGCATGTGGACACGTCCGGGCGCCTACCAACTACCGCCCCGTTGCCTTGAGGATTAACCTTGGCAGGTATAAGGCTATGGGAGTAAACCCCAAACGAAAAATCTGCTGTGGAGCCCTGCATCAGCCAGACACACTTACAGAGCTCCAACAAGATCCCAACGGCGGTGTAGGCGGAAGAGGTGACCACCATGGAAACCCAACGACTATACCGGCGGACAAAGGCAATGTATGGTGGAAAAGCTACGAAGGCGAAACCCAACACACTGGGCTATCGGCAGTTCATTGCGACTCTCCCTCTCCCCAGTCGTTGCAACACTTGCACCACTGGATCAGGAAAAGTGAGAGCCAAGATGTGTGGTTGCAGCCTGCGCTCCTGCCTCACCACATAAATCAACTCATGTGCAGCCATCATCCAGTTCCTCATACAACTCATCATCAAAACCCCTAGACCCTCAAAAGTCTTATGGCGACAGACGAGTGGTGATGGGAGTCTCTAGTCACAACTCTGCACCTGGGCAGCACAGATAAGATGTTCGTTTATACACTGGAATCTAGGCAGCAGTACAATCTGGTCCTGTCTGTGCGACTGAGCAGCCCTTTCGGGGAGCCACTTTGATCACCCCACATGGGGAGGGGGCTAGAAAAGGTGCACTAAACATAGTTTGCCTAAAAACCCAACCTGACTGGGCAACTGCACCTAGTAAGGTCTTCCTTATGTGGTCGAAAACACAACCAAAATCACAGATCCAAACAAAAACAAACCATACAACCTCTTATGGTCGCTGCATGGAGTGTTAGGACCCTTCTGGATACTGGCACAAATGCGCATCCTGAAAGAAGAACTGCCCTTGTGGCAAAAGAGATGGCTAGGTATAACATCGACAAAGCAGCCATCAGCGAGTCCCGGCTCCTGGATGAGGCCAACTCACAGAGCGGGGGTTTGGCTACACCTTCTTCTGGAAGGGTTATCCTGCTGCTGAGAGAAACCGCATCTATGAAGTTGGCCTTGCCATCTGCCAACGCATCCTACACAGACTAACTGAAATGCCTATTGGGATCAACGAGCCCCCCATGACGCTCCCAGTCCAACTGAATCACCCACGTCATGCCTTCTTCAGCAGTGCATACGCCCCAACAATGGATGCAGAGGATGACATCAAGGAGGCCTTTTATGCCGACCTCGACATAGAGCTAACCTCTATCCCCAGAGAAGACAAGGTTGTGCTCCTTGGAGACTTCAATGCTAGAGTTAGCAGAGATGCTAACATTTGGCAGGGAACCATAGGGAGAAATGTACTTGGCAAGCATAATCCCAACGGTCTACTCCTCCTCAGCAAGTGTACTGCACACAACCTCACTATCACCAATACCTTGTTTAGGCAGGCCGACAAGTTCAAGGGTTCGTGGCTACACCCACGATCCAAACACTGGCATCTCATTGACTACTTCATTGTCAGAGAAAGAGATCGGCGAGATGCCCTCATCACCCGTGCCATGCGTGGCTCAGACCACAGAGACACTGATCATTGACTTGTCAGATCCAAGCTCTTACTTCACGTCGCCCAAAACGGCGAAGGCAGCAAGCCTCCAGAAGAGTTCTTGATACTAAGCGTCTGGAGGATCCAGCCGGTACCACAGACTTTCAGAGAACAGCTCGAACATGGGCTTATAAACAACGCAACAGCAAACAACGTGAATCCCAGTGCCGAATGGGATACTCTTAATACTGTTATGACAAAAACCTGCTGAGAGACCTTCGGCTAGATCAAAAGAATACACCAGGACTGGTTTGATGAAAATGACCCGTTAATTAAAGTACTCATCCACAATGAATGTACTGCTTTTACTGACCGGAAGAACAACCCTCAGTCTCGGACCAAAGCTGATACCTTCCACAAGAAGAAAGCGCCAGCCCAGTGGGAACTTCGCAATCTAAAGAACGACTGGATTAAAAATAAAGCATGTGAAGCACAAAAACTTTCAAATCAGCACAAGATGCGTGAAATTTTCATTTTCACTAAAACATTTTATGGGCCAGTCACTCATGGCGCAGCCCCCCTCCGCTCATCTGGCGGTAACCTCATGATTAAAAACGATGAAGGCTTCCTTCAGCGTTGGAAAGAACACTACCATTCATGCTCAACCGAAACACTGATGTGGATGTCCTGACTACCCAGCAGGTCCCCCAGCATCCAGAGCTGACCCACTCAGCTATCCTCCATCACTGGATGAGGTAGCTACTGCCATCAAACAGATGAAAAAAACAAAGCCTCAGATGGAATCCCAGTTGAGGTGTATAAAGCAGGAGGACCTCTGCTTACCAGTCGTCTCCACTCTCTCCTGGAGAATAAATGGGAAAAGGAGGAAATCCCCCAAGTTCTTAAAACCTCCTCCATTGTCAATATTTATAAGAATATGGGAAACCGGTCAGACTGTAGCAACTAACGTGGGATTTCACTGCTCTCCGTAGCTGGCAAGATTACCGCCCGAGTCCTCCTAAACAGACTTCTTCCTGAGGCGGAAAACTTCCTCCCAGAATCTCAATGTGGTTTTAGACCATCACGTGGCACCACTGACATTATCTTTGCTGCCCGCCAGATATAGGAAAAGTGCAGAGAACAGCGTCGTGACCTGTACAGTACATGGCTTTCATTGACCAAACCAAGGCCTTCGACTCGGTGAACAGGGAAACTCTCTGGTGGACCCTCAGCCGTTTTGGTTGCCCACCAAAATTTCATCGCCATTTGAGGCAACTCCACGATTGCATGAACGGCAGTGTCCTGCACAACGGCACCCAGTCAGAGTTCTCCCCCATCCAAACACGGGTTAAACAAGGGTGTGTACTGGCACCAACTCTCTTTTCCATCTTCTTGGCTGCCTTCCTTACTAGTGCCAGTACCAATTTAGCCAGTGGGTGTCAACATCGAGTACCTGGTGAAGGGGGAGTCGATTCAACATAAGACGACTCCAGGCAAAAACAAAGGTGTCGGTAGCTTCCATTACTGAACTTCAGTACGCAGACGACCTTACCCTTGTTGCTCACACTGAGCACGACCTACAGGAGATCCTGAACACCTACGCAGACGCGTATGCACACTTCGGTCTTGTGGTGAATGTACGTAAGAGTCAGATTCTCTTTCAACCTGCCCCTGGTTCAGACACACCTCCACCGCCCATCCAGCTTAACGGTACTACCCTCTCTAATGTTGCCCACTTTCGGTATCTCGGCTCCCTCCTGTCCACCACCGCAGACATCGATGAAGAGATTCAGCATCGGATCAGATGTGCATCTCAAGCCTTTGGCAGACTCCGAAATCGTGTCTTCAGCTGTAGGGAGCTGAAATTATCTTCAAAGCAGTGGTCCTCCTCACCCGGCTATATGGCAGTGAGACATGGGTCACATACAGGAGGCACCTCAAGGCACTTGAAAACTTTCACCAACTTAGTCTATTTTCCATCCTCTGAGTTCGCTGGGAAGACAAGAGAACAAATGCCAGTATTCTTGCTGACACCAACTGTAGGAGCATCGAGGCTACCATTATCCACGAACAACTACGTTGGACTGGCCATGTTACCCTCATGGACGACAGTAAAGTGCCAAAGCAGCTACTTTACAGTCACGTCACGATTAGTAAACGTAACGCCGCCGGGCAATTGAAAAGGTGTAAGGATAGTCTTAAGACATACCTGAAAAAGTGCCAAATCGACCCCCTTGCATGGGAGTCGATTACTCCACACCGTAAAGCTTGAAGGAGCACCGCACGAGAAGGTGTCAATGCTTTCGAGTTAGCCCGACTGCAAACAAAGGCAGACAAGCGCCAACGCCGGAAAGACGCTGCCACCGCACCTCCCACAGTAGATGGAGCCCTCCTCATGTGCAACGAATGTGAACGACGCTGCGGGTCCCGTATCGGTCTCTTTAGTCACCTCAAAACTCACCAACCCAGGTTACATCCTTAATAATTCATATCATTGTATCATAGCTGGATGTTCGTCATACTCGATTACGAGTGACAGCAAAGTAGTGGTAGTATATGTGTGTGTTGGTGTGTGTGTGTGTGTGTGTGTGTGTGTGTGTGTAAGGCATTGTGTAGACTTTTTTAACACACCCTGTATGTATATTAAGGCCTATAGATTTTGGTGGCAGGAACAGAAGCAATTTGTCTGTAATAGTGTGCTCAACGTTATAAAAATTACACAACAATGTTTGCAACAGTAGTGACGGGAACAATGTAGCCAGCAGAAATATGTCAAGTGAACTAACTGCTGTGGACTATATTGTTATTATTATTATTATTATTATTAGTATTATTATTATTAGAAGTAGTAGTAGTAGTAGTAGTAGTAGTAGTAGTAGTAGTAGTAGTAGTAGTAGTAGTAGTAGTAGTAGTAGTAGTAGTAGCAGTATAATAGTAGTAGTAGCAGTAGTAATATAAGTGGTAGTAGTAATAATAGTAGTAGTAGTAGTAGTTTTCAACGTTTAAGTAGTTCAATATCAAGCTTTTCATCCCAGGAAATTAAGATTATTACTACAACATTTTTATTTTCCTCCCACACAG